AAGACTCGTTTTGTGAAATATTAAATTAACAAATTCTGGGTACTACCCAATTTGTTTATTTTTTATAATAATATGAAATGCGTATTGACAATGGATAATAATATATAATAATGATACAATATACACAAAGTTAAAATATCGGAAATACATATTCAAAACATATAATGCATTATAGTATACTAATCGTAGACACCATACACGAACACTATCATGTTCCGGCTCAGTTTTCTTTCGAGCTTACAAGCTTTTGTTTCATATTCTTGAACGCATTCAGTACGCGTGACTTACGTCGCTTGACTTGTTTAGCGTTTGACGAATCTACGAAATAATCGTGAGTGTTATTGGGGGGAAAAGAAGCAAACCAGCACAATGGAATATATGTATAACTCAATACTTTACCACCAGATTCATTTTCTGCCGAATCGTGAGATGTATCTACAAAGAAAATATAAAATAAACGACTTTATCAAACTAATGTCCACAAGCCAGTATACGCGTACGTACCATCAGCATCTTTCAGCTTCACAGTCTTACTTTTACTCGCTTTGCCCTCGTTCGCATTACGTTTAAGATCAATTGATGATACCGAATGACTTAGCAGTCGAGATATTGATGCTGTGGATATGAAAAGTAATAATCGATATAGTGAGACGATGGACAGCTCGTTCTACGTTACAATCAAATTTGGCGTTGAATAACTTACCGGCCGGTGATGAGAAGCCAGAATGAGATCCCTCGGACTTGGAAGCTATAAAATGTAGAGATTAGTAAGTATGTATTGCAACAGCCGCCGACGTCTTATATAGCTAACTCACCATTTGGCGTCCTTTTGTGCTTAGTCTTTCCTTTATAAGCTTTCTTCATTTGATCTGACAATATAACACAATGTCAGGAAACATCCACGTGTGAAAGAAGTATTCATACAAGTAAATTCCTACAATAAAACTTACCGTCTGTGACTCCTTCAGTTTGCATATTCTTCAGCTCAGCTATGAATTCCAAGCACGTGTGACTCAATTAACACTCATAACGAACATTAAACGTCGCAAAATCCCAAAACAAATTAACGCAAGAACACTAACCATTCACATCTACCCAATCGCCAGTCGCAAAATTCGCATCACCTGCGATAGAAATATGAGTTAGACCCACAAAGAAAAAGGTTGTCAATTGAAAATCCCCTCAAATGTTGAAAAACCTACCCTTCGAAATCTCGGTCTCTTGTTGGACATTATCTGCGTCGGACAACGCACTACTTGTTTTGGTGTCATCATTCGTAGGGACAGCTTTGAGAGAAAAAGACAAATAAGTAAAAAAGATGGAGAAGGGATATGCATAATAGAGTTGAATAATTGTATAAACGAACCTGAAGATTGCGAATTTGATGTTGATGAACCAGCATCTACGTTATCCGCAGCTGACGTGAGTTTTGATGATTGGGCATCTAATGAGAGCGTCACTGATAAATGAACACCAACCAGACATGTCAATCGCAGGCATTGAGACAATACTTGACAATACATACAAAAGGCTTACCATGAATATCCCGTCCCGTGACTTTATTGTGTTCTTCATCCGAATCGCCACCTATAAGTACGCAAAAGCATTATTTGATTATGTCTCCCCAATGCTACATTACGACACCACCACCATCTCTCATAAATAACCATCGCATACCATGCTCAACCCTCGACAGATTATCATCAGACATCAACTCTTGTCCGCCGTTTATCGTGTCAGCATCATCAGTTTCATCATCTTTCGAGGTACATGACGCGGTTATTTCTTCACTGTTGCGTGACTTGCTGTACGCTAAATTCAAAAGACAACAACAAATACGAGATAGTTTAGCGTATAAACGAATTAATGGGAAACTGAATTTTTAGACAAACCCCCATCGTCAATGAATAAATATATGAGAAAAAAAGAAAAAAAAACGAAAATATAACCCACCTTCCTCCTCTTCCCACTTTTTCACAATCTCGCTCCATCCGTCCCATTTTTCGATCGATATAAACGTTTTTCGCTTGGAGCCATTCCACCCGTTAGCAAATGCCTCACTTTTCACCTGCCCTTGGTTCCAATTTTCATCAAACTGACTTCTGATCTCCGGGTAAGAGTCACGTGATTCAAGAGACTTGACGAACACGTTTAAAGTTTTCGCCAATTCTTCAGAACTAGGTCGTCGAGACGACAATGGATGCCAGCATCTGCGGATCAAACTTGCATACAGCGGAGGAATCGTATCGTCAATCAGCGCGATTAGATGAGAATATATCGACCGATGGAAGGAATTGGTGGCGGTACTGCTCGTGCCGGCATTGTTGTGCGACTCTTTTATAAATGGCTTGTGAATAACTTTTCCGACTTCATCAGAGAAAAAGCGCCCGTAAGCTACTTCCCACATGATGATGCCGAAAGCGAATACATCAGCTTGATCCCAAGCGTTCGATCCTCCAACGATAACACTTGGATCTACATATTCCGGCACACCGAATACTCCACCGTCCGTCCAGGGTATTCCGAAATCAACTAGCTCTGCAGAACATGTCTCGTTTTCTTCATTATTCCCTTCGTCAACAAGCACATTTCCTCCGTGCACAGCACGGTGGGAGAGATTTGAGTTGTGCAACGTGGAGAGTCTGGTAGCAATGGTGTGTAAAAGACGGAGTTTGTGAAGAGGTGTCAAGGTGTGTGATGAGAGGTATGCATAGAGATTGGAAGGATAGTAGGTGGCAATTATAGCGAGGTCTGACGAGGGCGTTCGAGTAAACCCGTATATGGAGGAGGTCTTTGCTGCGGATGTATCATTGTCAAAATGGCGTTTGAACTAGTATAAAATTGAGATAGACGAGAACAGTTTTTCAAGTTTAGCTATAATGTTTTCTGCTAGGTCAATATAATTCACAGGGTTTGTTTTTTTTCATACCTCTTCGATGAATTCTTTAGACACGAATTTTGAGTTGAACAGAGTTTTAACGGAAACAACGACTTCGTTTTGTGCTTTTCCTCCGCTCATTTTTTTAAACACTCCTTGCTTCTTTTTCTTTATCCATTTTGCAACCGATACGCTTGAATAGTCATTCTTGGCAAGTTCTTTTACGCCTTCCAATTCATCATATGGAATCCATTGTAGAGTGCCATGAGACAATTTGTTATCGCGCTGCGAAGTGTAAATAATCTCATCTACATATGCATTTCCATTGATATAAGCAGAATGTGAGTTTGAGGATGATGGCGAAGAATTGCTGGATGTGGATGGTAATGAAGACATTTTTTCTTTATTATTATTTATGAGTTTTGAATATGTTCTATATAAGAAGAAATAGTTCTATAGAGGGCAAAGTATTTTCTATGGTTTACAGAATATTCGTGCCAATTTGACGCATTGGCTTCATAAAAGTGCTTTTTTTTTTTTTTAATAAACGCCTTTTGGCTCTTTTGTTCTTTTTTTTGTCACAAACCCAAATTTCGATCAATATTTTATACAAACGCCCCATAAATCACCGGATGATGGGAGGCTACTGGTTGAGTTCTTTTTCGGCACAATTTCAACATTTCGTGTGAAACTGGGTCATGTGAATTTGTAGAGACGCGCATTCAGGTGCAGCTTTAGGCGGTGGGAGTCAAATAATGGAAGGACTGGCATTGTCCGCTGTTGAGACACAGAGCTGCAGGGATCTATCTTGTGCATGGTGGGACGGGATGATTATCGAGATGTTGCAGTATGTAGCGAACTAGCAATACGGTCGATCAGAGATGATCCTATGCTATGTACTCAATCGTGCACTCGCTCAAGCCAATTTGCAAATCGTCTTCACTGTTACTGGTTTATATATGCGTTGTCAAATAATAATGACTGAAATTTTTGTTACGTTCCTTTGACAGGGGCGACTGCTTCTGTGACGGGTACCCCTCCCTCTTCGGCGGTTCCCGTCACAGTCCCGCTCTTTCCAGTAATCTACCAACACACACCAATGATCGTGACACCAGCAGTCGTCACTGCATTCACACTTCCTTACCTGCAGCGAACATGTGCAATGTCAGTAATATTTTCAAATTAGTACTAGTAAGATCATACGACCCACCAAATTGACACAGTGAGAATTAAGAAGAGTTTCTGGGAACGCTCGAACGGAAGATAAAAAAAATTGGTGAGATTTATTTCATCCTCTTCAATGGGTTAGAATAAAGGGGGGGGGGTCACAATGCTGGTACATCGGATAAAAACTCCGTAAATGAGGAATGAGGGGAGCGTAATCGATAATGAGAATGAAATTATATATATTTCCAAATATACAGCTTACAATGGTTGTGTCACCACAGAAGTCGGTGAAATCGAAGTAAACTAAACGCATTACTATAATGCACGATAGTTACGTAAGCGATCATCCACGCTTCTGTGGGAATTAATAAAACATGGATTATTGGCCATAGGCAATATGAAACTTTCAATGATAAAGAAATATGATTGCCATTAATACAAAGAAAAATGCAAATGTAAACTAGCTCAATACAGGTTAAACAGACTTATTATTATATTCAATTTAGTTAGTTCAATAATAAAATTGGTCCAGGTCTTTATTGATATCATTGTGTGACACAACAGACAAAAGTCACTAATCCTAACAGATTTCAGATGATGCCAGACTCTCAATACTAATACAAAGAACTTCCCACGGCTAGTTGGTTTGGCCTACGTTTGTCGTTCCTTTTTTCATTGCACAATTACAATACCGTTTTACCCACAATAAAAGAGACGTACAATGTCAATAATCATTTGCTTTACTCGGTTTCGGAATTTTTATTTCCCATCCAAGCATTTAGTTAGTGTCTCTAAAATGCAACAGACTGGTTTCACAGAAATATTGAGGATTCACAACTGTTGAATGTCACGGTCATGCTGCAGTATGTTCTCTCATCTTATTTTTATCGTGCATTTTACTTGAAACAAGTAAGATTGCGAGATTGAAGATGGAAGATCTTTTTTTAACAACTGGTAGCATTTCTGAGTGCAGTAAGAAACTTTAAATAGTGGCTTGCTATTATTGTATGATATTGCCTAAATTAACTGTCTGTTTAGCTTGTCACTCTGCTGATTCTGCGCAGCATTGATACAATGTTGATTAACACCAAGACTAACTAAATCAATGTTAGTTGTATAAAAATAATAATACAATATAAATCTATTTTTTTATTTTTGACTATTAATATCAACTTTTGTAATCGTCCAAATCTCTACAGAATTGCATGTATTGGTATCACTTCTACAACACGTTCTTAGAATATTTTCGTTAATATTAATTGATGAATTACAAAATTATTTGTTCATTATGTAAACAGCCAGGTGTTTTACTTTGAGAGAATATCTTTCAGGGAGTAATTATATTTTGGATCGAATCTATGCTTTATTTATTAATATGCTATGCATAACTTGCTACATTATGAAAGCCACAATCATAATAGTATGCAAAAGTTTATATTCAGGTTTAATTTCAAAGAACGTGATTGTTTAATACAGAAGTGATGCACAAATTTGAAAAAAAAACCCGACTTAGATTAGACTATTATAGTCTCAGGTAATGTGTCAAGAAAAATGGATGACGACACAAAGATAAGACGGTGCTATATAGGTTGCATTTGTATCGTCACTTGAGAACC